AGGCAACTGGAAGGTCTGAAGAGACTGGAAGTCTGGGGAAGGAGGACTGGAAGGCAGACTTTGAAGGAGCTCTGAAGGCAGGTCTGCAAGGAGACTGAAGGGAGACTTGAAGGAGGTCTGACAGGAGGGACTGGGAAGGTTCTGAAGCCGTTCTGGAAGGGAGTCTTGAAGTCTGGAAGGAGACTGAAGGAGTCTGCAGGAGTCTGAAGGGTTCTTGAAGGAGTCTGAAGGAGACTGAAGGTTCTGAAGAGTCTGGGGAAGTTGGAGTCTGAAAGGGAGTCTGAAGGAGTCTGCAAGGAGGACTTTGAAGGCTCTTGAAGGAGGTCTGGGCAATGAGTCTGAAGGCAGTTCTGAAGGAGACTGAAAGGAGGTTTCTGAAGGAGACTGAAGGAGTCTGAGGAGGACTGAAGGGAAGCTGAAGGAGAGCTGAGGATTCTGGAAGGAGACTGCAAAGGAGTCTGGGAAGAGTCTGAAGGGAGACTGAAGGAGTCTGGAAGCGAGACTGCAGATTGAAGGAGACGAAGGAGTCTGAAGGGAGACTGCAGGAGACTGAAGAGTCTGAGGCAGTGAGAGACTGGAATGAAGAGTCTGCAGGATTGGAATCCCTCTGCAGACTTCAGTGTCCCCTGCTTAAACGGTTGAGTCTTAACGTGACGCATGCGATATTCGTTTTCCCCACACACTGGAAAACACAATATCTCAACTTCAACGCACTTTATGCGTCATGTTGAAATTTGTATAACCCTTCGTTCTATTACTAAAATGAAAATGTATTTTTTTTAGCTAACTCTTTTTCAACAATGAATGCGTTTATTTTTACGCATTTATCTCTTTGTTTCAATAACTTTATACATCTTTTGTTTAATTTTCATTCAATTGATCAGATATTTCTTTACATCATTTTTGCACGATTATAGATAACTGTTGGAGATTTGGCCTGCCTGCCTTATGACTGGCTGACTGGTCGCGGTTAGGGTTAGGGTAACCCATAACCCACTGAACTGCTACCGGGCTGGCGTTCGGACACTGAACCTGTTACCGGCTTGCCGTTCGGACACGTGAACTGTACCGGTGGCGTTCGGACACTGAACTGCTACCGGCTGGCCGTTTCGGACACTGAACTGCTACCGGGCTGGCGTTCGGACAGACTGAACTGTACCGGCTGGCGTTCAGGTGTCACCTCTGACTCAACATGTTGACCGAGTCATCAGTGAAATCAGCTCCTGTGTCTTTGTTGTCTCTGTGGAAACCACTTCACGGTGATACGGTGAAGCACGAAGGTTTCGGGGTCTTTGAACTCACCACTTCCAGGACTTTGATCACGAAGCGGCTTTTATCCAGACTGGCTGACGGAACCAGGAACCAGGAGGATTTGGGGTTCGGCGTCGTCGTCGCAGCGTAAACTTGAGGCGCAGACATGATGGAGCTGAACAGAGAGAGTACAGTTACTCACTGTTATATATAATATATATATATAATATATATATAATCTATTACATCAGCTGACTGCAGACCTCCACAGAAACACCATCACCAGTTTGTCCTGAAGGGACGACACCACTGACCAGCTCCACTCCACAGACACCAGCAGGAAGTAACTAAGTACATTTACTGAAGTACAAACCTATAAAAGTGATAAACTTTATATTCACAGCACATGTAGGACTTTATTACAGTGAGTGAAAGTGAAACTAAGCATGCACAGGTAGAGCGCAGGTATACAAAGCAAACACTGATAAGAGTCATTGATGGTGGTAATAAAACTTCATTTATAACTTCAGTATTTTAGTAACCTTGCAGCCAGTCACACACAGAACCACAGCAGAACATACTGTGGGTCTTTAACATCAACATTAGTGTGTTCTGGTAGATTCGGCTCGCGTTTAATGGCCAGTCTCAGCTTATTTTGAGGGATATCTCAGCTGTTATCAGCCTTTCAGCCGCTCGCTGTGCGGTTCCTCAACCCTTCCGAGGGGAATCCCACGCGACATAACGCACGGCCCGCGTCCAATGAGCGGTGCTGGGTGCGCGTGAGTCCCGCCGAACTGAAGAACACAACTTTGATTAAACTGTAACAAACTTTTAAACTCGCGCTCCTCGGATGACACGCCGCTCTGTAAAGAAACGACGCAAACAGGCGGGAAGTTAAAGGCAGTCTGGCACGCTGCGCAGAGGAGAGTGCGCAGACGCATCCACTTTTAATGGCTGCCTGAAACTGTTAAACTGTCTCGAGACAACAGGAAGTTCCTTCCGAGCACAAACAGGAAATAAAGCTATAAATATGCGTGAATAAACTCACCGCTCAGGTTTGTTTCAGGTCGAATTAAAGTTTCCACAAGTTTAAACTTCAACTTGTCTCTTTGTTTCTGCGCTCAACCGACTGAACGCCAACTTCCGCGTTTACTCTTTATTACGTCAAGTCAACCGGAAGACGCGTAGCTTCCGGTTGAACCCTTCAAAGTAAAAGTGCTCTCGGTAATAATCCAAGATTTCATCATCATCATCATCATCATCATCTTCATCTTTTAAAAGAGAGCTAGATGAAGGTAAACTGCTTTAAATTGACACAGAGTAGTCTGAGCTGATCTAATCCAACAATTATGAATCAATGAATTCATATTTATCTGTATGAATTATGAATTAAATCACTGCCACCCTGACTGCAAGACAGGTTAATGAAAGTGCCTTTGTTTTTATTTATTTATCAAATTTAAAATGTACAAATATGTCAATACGATGAAAACTGATCAATTTGACCCACAAATATGAACAATAATAAACAAATACACAACAGCTGTGTGTAATTCAAATGTATGTGATTATAAATAAAGATTGTGCTTAAAAAAGTAAATAAATCTCACAAATAATAATAATAATAATAATAATAAACAGATTAATAGGATTAGTTTGCAGCTGTAAGTATTCCTCTGAACACTTTTATTTTAGTGAATATTGGATGTTTTTATTTGTAATGTTTTTATTTTTATTTATTTGGTTCTTACTCGTTCTGTGGTTTTTATACTGTTGGTGCTAGAGATATGTAATATGATATACTATATATATATATATTGAAAACCAGCTGTCTGACTGTTTATCTATTATTATTATTCACATTTCAGATTCGTTTCCAGAGAAATATTAGAAATTATAGAGACTTTGCTGTTTAAAATATTACTGTTGCTGCTCAAGAAACATTTAGTTGAATTTAAAATATCTTTATATCTTTATATTGTCAGTGTGTTGTAGATCTTGTGTAAGATGTGTTGGGTGGTCAGTGTGATGTGTTTGCTGTAGAGTATAAGACAGACAATGTTAGAGTCATATTTCTGTATCACTGTATGTTTTAGTGGAAAAAGGAAATGACCAGTAATTATTGCTGTTTTACACTGATAATAAATGCTATTATTGGACAGTTTACCAATGCTTTATACATTGATAAACAACATTTTATTCAAGCTCTCGCATCATTATACCAAGTATTGTCAGTTAACTAACTAATCATTAAAGTTTACACCAACTAATACTTTTAACTGTTTATTTCATGAATTAAACTGTTACATTTAGATATTATAGATTTGCAAATTCATGATTATTTACAGTTACAGATTTTTACATATTATTATATATATTATTATTATTTACATTATTTTATATTAGACAAGTGGACACAGGATATTTGTATATTTTTTATCAATATTTAATATAATATTTAATAAAATCTGTAAAATAAACAGGAAAAACCTTGTAAACAGATGTTTGTTTTACAATAAACTGAGTTTAATTGTTTCCAGGCTGTGCTTCCTGTGGCCGGCCTGCAGGAGGCGCTGCAGTCCGCTCTTCTCTCCTCCTCTCCTCCTCCTCTCCTCCTCTCTGCTCTGTGTGTGTGTGTGTGTGTGTGTGTGTGTGTGTGAGAGAGAGAGGCTTCCCCCGCTATAAAGCAGCGAGAGGCGTCTGGAGGCTGTAGAGGCTCTCCAGCAGCCAGAGGAGGAGGAGGAGGAGGATGAAGAAGCTGAGTGTCCGTCAGCGAGGAGCTGATCTCAGTTCAGTGTGTCTGAGCTGAAACTGGAAACTTTCTGATGCTTTTCTCACTGCGGAGCTTCTTCTTCTTCTTCATGCACCTGTGAGCAGGTAGGAACTAACTGACTGAGTTTGATCTCATATTGATGCTGTTATTGTTATTATTGTTATTATTGTTATTGTTGTTATTGAACACACATATTGAGTGGCTGATGATTGTAGTCTCATTTTCTTATATGATAATATTCTGGTGATGAACAAACGGATTTCCTACATTTCCATTTGAATGTGGATTATGAATTTATTCTGAGGGAATGAAATGATGTCTCTGTATGTTTGGACTCTGTTATACGATTGGGAATGTGAAGGAATTCTGAATCTGGTTTATAAGTGGAGCAGAGCTGTGTGAGGAAACCTCACTCGTTCACTCGTTCATTCATTCATTCATTCAGACGCAGAACTGGTGTGAATGGATGTTTCTGACTTTCACTGATATTATAATATAGTCAGCACTCATAAAGCTTCCTTTGTATATAACAATCATTTAACTAATGATCCATCAACGGTTGGAAAATGTCATTTTAACCTTTTAAGAATCACAACTTCAGTTTTATTGGTTTTAACCAATTTAATCTCTTTTTTTAATCTTTTTTATATACAAATTCATCATTGTGTCCTACTGTGAAACAAAGTTGTACGCGTCGCTCACGTCCAGCATGAACTAACTGATTTTCAACCCCAATAATATTCTGACATTTAGCCGTCAATTCAATCTTCCAACCTTTTAGCGACACAAAGTGATCACGATTAATCCACGAGATTGCTGTACAAAACACGACTGTTAATTAAACACTGGTAAAACACACGACTTTATTATGATTTGGTGTGAACCTGGATCATATTTTAGTTGTGACGACAGCGCGGTACCGAGGTGATTTATGGAGTTTCCAGAATGGACTTGTTGCTAAAAGAAGCTAACCCTGTCGCTAAACATTAATGCTACCTGCCGTTTCCAGATTCTGCATTCAGTTCGGTGTGGACCGGCCTGTTCAGCGGAGCCATCCGCAGTCCAACAGATTAGTTTCAATGGGATCCACTACAGCTCTGTAGTACCAGTTGGCCACCCGTCCCTGCCCCCTTGACTGCCCTGTTCGTTACAGAAACAGCTCTCTGCTTCCTGTTTCATGTGTAGACACACACTTTTAGAAACATCTGTACACACGTCTCTTCGTTAGACCTTAAACGGATCAAAAGTTCTGATGTCTGAATCTGTTGAAGTTGAGCTGATAAGTTGGAGACGATGCAGTGATGAAGAACAATGATAAAAAGCTCTGGAGGTCTGTGCAGGAGAGATAAAAACCTCAGACAGCCTAGAAACCTGCAGCTCTGATCTGGATCTGCTGACAGCAACCGAACATCCTGGAACCACATCGACGTACATCGCAGACTCTCTTCCTTTCAGACAGTCTGTCAGTATTCAGTTAGTCTTCTGATCGCTGACGCATTATCAGTTCCTTTTGTGTCTGTTTTCTACAAAAGACCTGAACTCTCATCTAGTCTGAAGTTATATCAGCAACAATCGTCTCCAGGTTATCTGTCAACTCCGAACAAGCAGGTGTCAGTAAACTCACCACCAGTCAGGTGAAGCTTTGAGCGTCTGCAGGTTTTTAGAACGAAGGATTTAAAGTCTGTTTGTAGATTAACTGTTTAAAACACGTAAAATCACTGATGTGAGTACAGTTCGCTCTGTGGAAGCAGATCTGTGTCACTTCATTAATAAAACAAAAATCTATTTCTGAGCGACTGGACATTTTCCCAGTGACCTGACAAACATCCATCAGTCTCTGAACGTGACCCGGAGTGTCATTCAATATCGATGTTATTGATAACTGGAACTGATTTCAGGTGTAGCCACCTAGCATGCTAACTGTTTGTAACTGGATCACGGTCAGATTAACTTCCTCTTCCTTCACAAATTAAGTTAAAGTGGATCAGTTCAGCTCATTTCCAGCTCTATATTCTCAGTCTGACGCTGGTTCAAAGCATTTAAAGGGGGTCGTGAGGCCTTGGTGATTTTAAGTCGTGCTAGAAAACATCAAATATATCCACAGTCGGCCGATATCTCAGAGTCTGGCTGACTTCGGTGAAGAAAACTAAATTGTCTAATAAAACAATGGTTGAGCTTCAGACAAGAAACACTGAATTTGTCAAAAAAAAAAGAAGTCTAACAGAGTTTAAACAGAGAACATCGAACATTTTAAGTATAATTTTAAATACTTTCCTGATTACATACTTTTTATTAGGTATTTTGTTTTCACAATACAAATAGAAATGACAAAATTAAGTTAGTTTTGCTTAAAAGTTACGATGTAATCAGTTCCAACTATTGTTTGAGTTAAATGAACTGATCTGGTTTTGAACCAGTAAGTCTGTCTGAGTGTTAAAAATAATACAAATACAGAATAAAGACAATATTCTGCTCAAAATAATCGAAATCTCTGGTTTTACACAAACTTCCTGCAGTCACTGAGTTCACTGTTTGTTACTATTATTGTTGTTATTGAATATAAGATGAAATATACATAAAATATGTCACTTAGTTTGATAAATGATAGAAAAGGTAGGTAAAAGGTTGGGAACCAGTGCTCTACAATAGCTTCATAAACATCTTTATTCATCTGATACTGTCTCTTTATGGCTGTAAGCTTTAGAAACAGAGTGCGTCTGAGCAGTCGCCGTATTGCGGAGGTCAGATCTGCTGGTAAACAATACTGAGAGATTCAGAGTGTAACTCGTTTAATTCTTCACACATTTTCATGAAACTTGTTTCGTTATAAAGGTGAGAAAATGAAGCTGATACTGGTTCCTTGTTGCGACCACTGCAGGCTGCGATCTACGAACAGTCTCAGCTTCAATTTGTTATGTTTCAACGAGTTAATAATGGAAATATAGCCGTAGCTACTTGTTGTTAGCAGTTAGTTAGCCTCCAACTGTAACTGCTAACTTATCCGTCCTATGGGTTACTCTGGTTGGACGGAAGCTTTGGACTGCCGGGAGCGCCGCTGCCTCCTCACAGTCCGTTATCATAAGTTAGCATCTGGATACGGCCACTCACGGCCGCCCATTCGCCCGGTCGACTCAGTGGCGAGCAGCGCTAATCATGACCTGACATCCCCTTTTAATGTCCTCAAATAACTAATTAAAAATATAAATATATATATATATATACTGCAGTCAGCCACCAGGGGGAGATAGAGAGCAGATTTCTCTTACATACGTTTGCCTTGTTAATCAACACTTTGGCCTCCTTTAATATCAACATTATAACATTAAATATACAAACTGAGTCTGGTTCTGCTCTTAAACACACTGGCGGGACTCCAGGAACAGATCATCAGTAGTTCACAGTTTCACAGGCAGCCGGTGTGTCAGGTTATT